GGCTGGCAGGGGTGTGTGGAGCCGGGCTGGGCTGCATCAGCAGGGAAAGGGGGGAGTTAACCCAGCTCCATAGAGCCCCTGCTGGCCCTGCGGAGCTCCTGCTGCCCTGCCCTGGGCCCTGCTGGCACTGGCCCTGGGACACTGGTGTGGGCCCTGCGCTCCCGCCTGGCTGTTGCTAGCTCCCGTGTGCCCGCTTGCTCCCAGCCCTGCCTGTCCCAGCCCTGTGGTACGGGCGGGGAGCAGCACGTAGCCCCGACCCCATGTGCCCCACACTTTCCTGTCTGGACTGAGCAGTGGTGGCGGGAAACAAGCTGGTGCACAGCGCAGGGCAGAAAGCGGCCGCTCCCTGTGGCTGGCACCCAGTGCTGCAGCCACTCACAGCCTGCGCAGGGCTGTCCTTCCTCTCCGCCATGTTACCATTGGCCCGTGGGGCAGCAGTGGCAACGGAGAGCAGACGCAAGCAGAGCGGCTGACCCTGTCATCTTTGACAGGAGCCAGGGGCAGATAAATATTAATTTTCTAAATGTTTTAGGGGCCCTGTGGGCTGGATAGAATGGCCTGGCAGGCCAGATGCGGCCCACGGGCCGTATTTTGCCCACCCCTGGTCAATTTTCATCCTCTTTGGAACTAGCCTTCAGGTAGTTAAAGGCTGCTATTAAATCCCCCTTCTCTTCTCCAAGCTAAATAAACTCAGTTCCTTCAGCTTCTTCTCAGAAAGTGATGTGCCCCAGCCCCCGAACCATCTTTGTTGCTCTCTGATGTACTCCAACTTGTCCACAACCTTTCTATAGTGGGGGGTCCAAAACTGAACACAGTACTCCAGATGTGGCCTCACCAGTGCAGAATAGAGGGAAATAATTACTTCCCCTGACCTGCTAGCAATGCTTCTACTAATGCAGCCCAGTATGTTGTTAGCCTTCTTGGCAATAAGAGCACATTTCTGATTTGTATCCATCTTATTGTCCACTGTAACGCACAGGTCCTTTCCTGCAGACCTAGTGCTTAGCCAGTCTGTCCCAAGCCTGTACTGGTGCATGGGATTTTTCTGTCCTCAGTGCAGGACTTTGTATGTGCCCTTGTTGAACCTTATGAGATTTCTCGTGACCCAATCCTCCAATTTGTCTGGGTCACTCTGAATCCTAGCCGTGCCCTTCATCATATCTACTACATCACTCAGCTTGGTGCCATCTGCAAACTTGCTAAGGGTACAATCCATCCCATCTTCCAGATCCTTAATGGAAATAATGAACAAAACCAGCCCCAGAACTGACCCGTGGGGCACTCCACTTAATACAGGCTGCTAACTAGACATTAAGCCATTTATTACTACGTGTTTACTACAACAATCCAGGCAGCTTTCTGTCCACCTTACAGTTCATTCATCCAACTCATAGTTCCTCAGCTTTCTTGAAAGAATGCTGTGAGAGATGGTATCAAAAGCCTTGCTAAAGTCAAGGTAAAGCATGTCCACTGCTTTTCATGAATCCCCAGAGCCAGTTATCTCATCATAGAAGGCAATCAGGTTGGTTAGTCATGACTTGCTCCTGGTGAATCCATGCTGACTGTTCCTGATCACTTTCTTCTCCTCCAAGTGTTTAGAAGTGGATTCTGGGTTAAGTAATGGATTCTGCTCCATGATTTTTCTAGGGAATGAGGTGAGGCTGACTTGTCTGTAGTTCCTTGGTTCCCCTTTCTTCCCTTTCTTAAAGATGGGCACTATATTTGCCTTTTTCCAGTTGTCTCGGGCCTCCCCCAATCACTAGGAGTTTTCAAAGATAATGGTCAGCAGCTCTGCAATCACATCAGCCAACTCTCTCAGCACCCTCAGATGCATTGCATCTGGCCCTATGGACTAGTACACATCCAGATTTTCTAAACAGTCCCTAATTTGTTCTCTCACCACTGAGGGCTGCTTACCTTCTCCCCAAACTGTCCTACCTGGTGCAGTAGTCTGGAAATTGATCTTGCCTGTGAAGACCAAGGTAAAAAAGGCATTTAATACTTCAGCCTTTTCCTCGTCAACTGTCACTAGATTGCCTCCCCATTCAGTAAGGTACCCACACTTTCCCTGACCTTCCTCTTGTTGCTAACAGACTTGTAGAAACCCTTCTTGTACCCTTCACGTCCCTTGCTTGCTGCAACTTCAGTTGTGCTTTGGCCTTCCTGATTTCATCCCTGCATGCCCCAGGAATACTTTTATACTTCTCCCTAGTTATCTGTCCAAGCTTACATTTCTTGTAAGCTTCCTTTTTGTGTTTAAGCTCACCAAAGAGTTCTCTGCTAAGCCAAGCTAGTTGCTTGCCATATTTGCTATTCTTCCTGCACGTCAGGATGGCTTGTTCCTGTGCCTTCAGTAAGTTTTCTTTAAAATACAACCAGCTCTCCTGGACTCCTTTCTTCCTTAGGCTGGCCTCCCAGGGGATCCTGCCCATCAGTTCCCTGAAGGAGTCAAAGCCTGCTTATCTTAAGTCCAGGGTCCTTACTCTGCTGTTCTCCTTTCTTCCTTTTGTCAGGATCCTGAGCTTAATCATCTTGTGGTCACTGCTGTCCAACTTGCCATCCACTTCTACATCCCCACCAATTGTTCCCTGTTTGTGAGCAGCAGGTTAAGTAGAGCATGCCCCTAGTTGGTCTGTCCAGCACTTGCACCAGGAAATTGTCTCCAATGCTCTCCAAAAACTGTCTGGATTGCCTGTGCACTGCTGTATTGACTTCCCAGCAGATGTCAGGGTGATCGAAATCCCACATGAGAACCAGGGTCTATACTCTGTAAACTTCTGCTAATTGTCTGAAGAAAGCCTTGTCTACCTCATCCTCCTGGTCAGGTGGTCTATTGTAGACACCCATCACAACATCACCCTTGTTGCTCTCCACTCTAATCTTAACCTAGAGACTTTCTAGAGGCCTATCTCCAGTTTCATACCGGAGCTCTGAGCAATCATGCAGCTCTTTTGCATACAGCACAACTCCTTCTCCTCTTCTCCTCTGCCTGTGCTTCCTGAACAGTTTGTACCCATCCATGACAGTGCTCCTGTCATGCGAGCTATCCCACCAACTCTCTGTTACTCCAGTCACGTCATAGTTCCTTGACAGTGCTATGACTTCCAGTTCTTCTTGCTTGTTTAAATCATAGTTTAAAATGAATACACAAATCCCCCTCCTTCCAAGTGATAGCTTTTAGCTACAAATTCAGCTCTGTTGGGCAGTGGCTTTGGATACACTGGGGAATTAGCTTTCTGCTTCTTAATTAATTAAACAGGCTTCTATTGTTTTTCTTTTTTTGTTGTTGGGGGAAATAAAGATAGAATCATGTGAGCCTTTATGATTCAGAAAGGGACAGCAGGAAGAATTTGATATATGATAAGACAGCAGCATCTACCACTAGAGGAAATAAGAGATAAAATCACTGTGTTAACTGTGTAAATCACCCTCACAAACTTAAAACTAATTTACCCTGATTAAAAAGTAGTTTCCAGCTGTGCTGTCTGGCCAGTTATTGTGGTTTTGCCACCATAGTTGTCTCTCTCTGCTTTGCAAGTGCTTCCTTCTAGCTCTCAAAGCATGTTCCCATGATAACTACTTTCCCATGCATGCAGCCCATGCCTGCTTTCCTGTTTGCACATATGGGCAACAGCTTGTCAGTTCTAGGACAACCCAACAAACAGTGCATCAGAGGCAGAGCTGATGAACGTTGTTTTCTTACTTAACCCAGAAGGCTTGCAGCTGCTCTGTGAATTGATATCAGAGGGCAATTCCAGCAGGAAAATGTCCACAGTGACTTCAGACCTCCCAGAGGTGACATTAATCATAGACTTGAAAGGGGCAGTGCAGCCCCTTGCAGGTGATCACATTTCTTACAACCCAAATAGGGGAAAGGTGGGCCCAGACCCAGAGTTTCAAAATTAAAAGAGAGAAGGATAAAAATATTGAGCTCTGCTATTTTGAGATCTGGCTGTGGTTTATAGCTATAGCCTGCAGTAGAGGAGAATTAGAAGGGCTGTGTTGCCACAGGAGATCCTCTAAGGAGCTGAATGGATCTGAGGTCATGTAACAAGCTACTGGCAGAGACTGGAGCAGAGCTTAAGTCTGCTAATGCTCTGTCCATTGACCCCAACTCACTCCAAAGTGACTGAGAGGCCCTGGAGACTCCTAGGTGTTTAGTGTTTAAAAAAAAATAAAAAGGGGAAATAGATACAATATTAAGCAAAAGATTGCTTAGGAAAAGATGTAATTGTTCTGTGGCTTTACATTCAGATTCGTAACAGCAACTGTGCACCTTTCTCAACCTATCGTAATGGAACTCCCATGGCTCCATGTGGTGCTATCGCCAACAGCATGTTCAATGGTAGGTGTCTTCCACATCTCATTTATTCAACTGCATGGCTATACCCAGTGGAAACATCTCTGTGACCCTGAGTCTGCGCAGAGCCCCACTGTTGGTCTCTGCTCCCACTTGTGGATGTTGTTAGGCAGTGTGACTGGAATGGAGATGCCGAACAGCAGTGAATAGCATCCTACCACTTTGCCTACAGGCCTAAGTACATTGGCGTGTCTAGAGGATTGCAAAGAATCCTACAAACCATTTGCAGGATTGAGCTTCTGAGTAGCCTAGTAAAGTAGCTTAGCTGGAAAGTGCAGCTGGGTGAGCACAGAAGACCCAGGATCTAGCTTCATAGGGTGATGCACTCGCAAGTGTGAAACAACACATTCTTGCAATAGAAAAACTTATTTGGGCCCAACCTAAATTCTCTGTTTCATGGATTTAACTACAGTTGTGATTTTAAATCAGTACATACCCTTATGTGGACACATTCCTAGATTGTTTTAATCCTCTCTTGGAGTGATTTAACCTGCATTGGTAAATTTCCAGGTTCAAGGTAAATTGTTTTAAATCCTGATCTGCAGAATGTTTTTATACTCAGCTGTCAATCGTGAGTGTGATTTTTTTCCCCCAACATAGTTACCTCAGAGCAGCATTCCTAATGGTGGTGGTGGTTGTCCATCACATGCTGTAGAACTTTGTTCACACTAGAGAGGAGTTGTCACTAAAATGTCACTGGTGTAGTTGAACTATTACAACTTCTGTGTGTAGACAAGACCAAAGTGTGCATGCATAGGCCCTGTCTTCATAGGCATAGAAAGTGTGTATTTCAGTCATACTAGCCCAGTTGAATTCATCTAACCTGTTTGAAAAGGCTTCTTACCACTTGCTAAAAGAGAGAGAGGCACCACTCTTCCATGCAGACCAACCAATATGGCTTCAGACTGTGTCTCGGTGAGACTTAAGAAAGCTTTTCAATCATGTGACATAAACATCATTTGAAAAATGAACTTTTTTACCCAGGAGATTGTACCAGTTTTCAAATAATTTGTAATTAGACTAGTTCAACTTCACTGGATAGTCTCATAAAGACAAATCAGGATGTTTCCTTAAGGCACAGACTCCCTGGTCTTTATGTTCACTTCCAAAAATATAGATTTTATATAGGAAGAGAGCTAGCTATCTCACTTTGACATCTCAGTAGAAAAGAGGCACAGGTTGCTTTTATCTTGATACAGGGAACTGAGGGCAGCTCCTGATAGGAAGTGTAATATTAGCCTTAGATTGTTTACATGAAAAGAAGCAACCAGTTTCTTGATTCCTCTGGGATTTTAAAAGAAGAAAGCTGCCCTGAATAAGCTCATCTGCAGTAAAACACACTTTTTCTAATGCTGCAGCCATTCTCCTGGTGTCTCAGTATACTCTATTTTGTCACATACAACACACCCTGGAATATAATACCTTTTTGAAAGGCGGAACAAAGAAAAAAGATCTACCCTGTAGTAAGTAACTGAGTAGCAGCAGTCTTTGAGACTTCAAAGATTGTTCTTGTTTAAGGCTCTTCAGTAGTAATCTTCTGGTGGAATATACCAAATGGGCAGAGGCTGAAAAAATCATAAAATCTTCTCTTATTTCTCTCTGTTCCATGGAGGGGAGGGGTTAGTGTGTCTGTGTAGGTGTGGGCATACACATGCACACACCCACCTTCAAGCTTTCACTTGGTCATGCTAATTACTGAAGTGACAGATGGCAGTTGCAGGGCAGTTAATAATACATATTACTTTTGATCCTTCTGCAGATACAATTTCTCTTTTTTACTATACTAATTTATCCACTGCTATCCAAGTCCCACTACTAAAGACTGGAAATAGTTGGTGGACAGATAAATATGTGAAGTTTCACAATCCAACATCGCACAACCTCACTTCTGCATTTGCAGGTAAGAATTATTTCATTTGCATTCCCTTATTTTCAAAGTCTGCCTGCTGTGGGTGGACACCCCCTGAGACAGGCACAGGCCTTGTGAGAACGGTCTGTGTGTTCTCCCTGCTGGTGATGAATTTATCCAATGGAAAAGCCATGAGAGCAACCTCACAAAATGTTCTCCAGGTTCTCAGTGGAAAAACAACATAATCAGCATCTTGGATGGAAAGACAGATGCTATAAAGAGAAAACGATGTTCCAGAAAGACAGAAAAGCGAAGTCTTTCTCCTTTCTTCTCCTTACCGAGGAAGACTGTTGGGCAAAAAGAGTAAATAAAGTGGCACTTATTGTCAGATCGTCATCTTCATTAGCTCTTTAAAATGATGACTAGCTGTCACTATTGATATTAATAGCATCACTAATGATAGTGTTGCTGTTAGTATTGGGGGAGGACCTGTGAATACTAATCATGAACCAGGACCCCCACTTTGCTTGATGCTGTACAAATGCCGAGCAGGAAAGTGGTCCCTGCCCCCAAAAACTTGAAGTCTGTGCAAGATCAGCACCACAGCTACCAACTGCAGATGAACAATGCATAAATGTTGACCTATCTTTCAGTGCTTTTTGTGAGCAAAGAGAAAAGAAACAACCTATCAAAGCAAAGGTAAACAATTAATTGCAAAAAGCAGGGTAGAGATGCACTTTATAGCCTAACTGCATGAGAGATGCGTGAATTTTTGTGATCTCCAGCTTACTTCATCAGATGCTATGAAAAGACATGCAGAAAACAGGCTATCAAAAAGAGGGGGTGATAAGATTAAGTGTGGGAGCATTGCCATGTGATGAGCGTACGGAAGGTGGGAACCAGAAATAATGGTAATAGTTCATGCACAAATCACTTTAATTCTTTTGCACGTTTCTCTATTACATAAGGATTATTACATTTACCTACCACACGGGTATATAATTAAGCTCAGTTCATTCATGTTCTAAGATCTTTGGATGGAAACTGTTCTCTGCTGTGCCGAATGCAGGGCAAAATCTCTGTCCATTCTATGCTCTTGAATCCTCAGTTAAACATCAGAAGCCCAGCAGGAGTCTGTAAGTAACTTCTTGTCTGAGCAGCATTCTTAACGTTGCTAGCTCTTCCCTGTTTTCCATTTTGCTCCCCAGGGACAGCAAGGCCTCCCTATTGGCAGAAACCAGCCTATTTATTGGATGAGGAGAATGAAAGGAATAATGGTTACATCAATGATGACTTTATCATCTGGATGCGGGTGTCAGCTTTCCACACTTTCAGAAACCTCCACCGTCGCCTCAGCCGCACCGAGCAGTTTGCTGATGGTCTCCCAGCAGGGAATTACACCTTTCACATTTTCTACAGTATCCTTTCATCATGCCTGATGTATTCCTTCATTTTTAGATAGGTATAAATTAGATGATAGTTGGCTTGGCAGCATTATAGCAAGAAATAAAGCCCTAAGGAAGATCTCAATTTTGACGACAACCCTGGATTTTCTGCAATCTGCACTAGTGGCTTTAGACATCTCTCAAGTGCCAGCTTAAGCCATTGTACCTCAGGTCTGATCCAGCTGCTTGTCTGATGTTTAGAGATGAAGCACAGCAGTGCCAGCTTTTGTACAGAGGTTGGGAAACCAACTTGTTTCAGGTAACCTAAAACAGGAGTTTAAATCAATATATTTTACACTGAGCTACCTTCCAGGGGTAAGATATTCATGTGTCAGAGGACCTTTTCCAGTTGAGTATGTGTCAGTGGAGAACAGGTTTATCTATTCTTTTATCAGAACAAAAGTTTTTCTATGCTGAAAGAGTCTGTGCTGCTATGGCTATGTCAGCAGAGACCCCTAGTGGAGATGCAACCTATGGGAACAGGAGTTGTTATGCCATTGTAGCAAGGTCCCCTTCCCAAGTGTTAAACTTGGGCTGCCTGAAGTACTGTTCCTTTGACACTGCTGCATCTATCTCTGGATGGTGCTGGCATAAGTCATCAGCCTAATGGCGTGACTTTCTCATACTCCTAGCTGAAGTAGAAGGCCAGCAAAGTGTTGTAATACCATCCTGTTCTAAGAGATGAAGCCTTTGATGCTAGTGTCTCACACTGAAAAGATTGGGATGTCCTACAAGCATTATGTAGAGTGTTGGCATGTCAGGGCCTAGTGTCTGCAGGAGGTGGTTCTCTTGTACAATATCCACCCAGATTTCCCAGTTCATTTGATGTGTTCCCTTTAAATATTATGGGCCCAGTTAAACCCTGATGTAACTCTAGTGCATTAAACAGTTACATGACACATGACCCTGACATCATAACATTAAAGGATCCAAGGGCTTTTTCATAATCTGCCTTGTAAAGGCACATCAAAGGTCTTCATAAGCCTGGTGGACTATAGGGCCAGTGTAGTTGAGGCAGGCCAGTGGCATACAAGGGAATGATATATGTTTGGCTACCTTTAACTCCCCAGCCTGAATGATCAAGTACCTGTTTACAGGGCACTGAACTTATGCCTCTGGAGCTATTATGAGAGGCCATCATGATGCATGTGTGAACTTCTTACCTCTACCCACCAACTTGAGGCAGCAAAAGATACTTTTGCCAACTCTTCTCTGTACATTTCATCATGACAGTGTAAAGGACCGCAGCATAAGTGGTCTGGCATAATGGTTAGGCCACTGAGGGAAAGCAGGGCCTGGGGCTGAGTCAAAGGGCAGGATCCATATACCAAAGCCAGAGGGAAATCCAGAAGCAGAGTCCACAATATAGTCCAGGGTCAGGATCCAGGGATCAGATGCCAAGTACCAATCCAGAGAGCGATCCACATGGCAAAGTCTTAAAACAAAACCAAACCAGGGTCAGGAGCCAGGAAAAAGAACCACAGGGAAATCCAAAGCTGAAGTCCAAAAATAAGCCGAAAACCAGGGTCAGGGCCCAGGAGAACCAGAGTGTAGGAACTAGGAGGCTTGCCACAGCAGAACTGTTGACTGGCCTGCAGACCCAAGGCCCAAGTTTTTGATGCTAAGTGGATAGGTGGTGCTCCCAATGGCCAGTGAGGAGGCTTGCTGCTCCTAAGCTGCGGGAGAGTTAATTAGCTGGGGTTTACTGCTGGTGTGGCTGCTGAGGTTCTTGGCCCAGGCAGGTCTGCCTGGTCTGTGTCGCTGACAGACAATATGCTACTATTTGTTAATGAAACTTTAACTTCACCCCCATCAGATTTTCCCGTTTCCAGGTTCAAAGGGAAGAAATACCTGATTCTCTCAACTGTGGTGTGGTGTGGGGGAAGCAGCCTCTTCCTGGGAATTGCCTATACGGTTTCTGGTGCAGTGGTAATGCTGGCAGGTTTTATCATAACTGCCATTCACTTAAAGCTCAAAAAAAGGAAAACTTACTTTCAGAGATAACTAGACAATATAACTTTTTGGACCAAAATAAAGGCACTCCTCTGAAAAGAGGACAGAGAAGCATGGACCTTTCACACATTCCTCCTCCCTGTAGAATCATTTCAAACACAGAAGAAGTGGTGAACATACAGAAGTCCCGAGCATCAAGATGTTCTTCCATAACACAAAATAACCACAAGTTCATTAGGTGACTCCAGATGCATGACCCCAAATGTCAGTCTTCTACTAAGAACCAATCTTCAGGTTCTGAGAGGCGCATCAGTGCTGTACTTATTTGGAATCATGAACTCCAGTGCGTTCATAGAGAAGTGAGACTGGAAGGGGCCTCAAGAGATCATCTGAGTGATTACTGAGTACAAATGCAGGGCCAAAACTCAGGTCCTCAGATTTTGCTGAATCTGTAATCAGGCAAAACTCCCACTGATTCAGTCAGTAGCATAACTGAGGGCAGGGGGAACTGGGGCAGCAGCCTGGATGCCATTTTTGTGGGGTGGGGGAGGCAAGAGGTGGGGACTAGACAAAACAGCTACTCCTGTAGTGACACCTGACCACACCACTGCAATTTGCATAGCAGGAGCTGGTGCTGCCCCATGAGCTGGTAGCTGCTCCAGCTGTGGACCTCTCTGTGTGAAGCAATACTCTATGTGAAGTAATACTTGTAGTGAAGCTTAGGCTTCTAAGGCCAGATCCAGATGTGCAGGCACATGAGATTTGTTGCCGCAAACCTCTTTGCAGTGCCACAAACTGCATGTGTTGCATATTAAACCATGCATGGCTGCCTGCTCACTGGGCTGCCTTCTTTCCTGTCTTGAGGCACACTGCACCCCAGGCAGTTGCTCCATGGCTCGCTGGGGCACAGCATGCCATAGCACAGGGTTTCACAGCAGAGCCCCTGCACTGAGGCATGCAAAGACAGGGGATCAGCCAGCCCAGGGCTGCCTGTTCCCCTATCTCAAGGTACACTGTGCCTCAGCCAGCTGGGGAGCAGCTGGATAGGGTGCCAGGTGCCTCAACGCACAGGCTGCCCCATCTCCATGTGCTACTCCCTGGCTGGCTAGGCCACAGGGTGCTTCAGGATGGGGGCTGCCTGCTGGCTAGCCCTGCATTGAGGCAACCTGTGCTCCAGCCAGGCCCCCTGCAGTACATGGAGCAGCAGGACATTGTGTCCTGCTGCAAACCATGCGAGCAGGGGCGTGCACTGCAGCATAAAGTAGCAGCAGCAATTTGTGCTGCTACTATTTGTTCTGCAAACGCATGCCCCTGCTCATGTGGATGCTACCTATGTGTCTAAATCACTGTTAGAAATGGGACTTAGGATTCTAAATCTTTAAGGCACTTTTGAAAATGTTACCCTCTGTGACTTGGTTGAAGTTACTGAGGCAACAACCTGTGCCAGCGCTGGGATTAGAACTCAGAAATTCTGGCTTCCTGCCCTGTGTTCAGACAGACCAGAGGACTGTTTTTTGCTCAAAACAGAGTTTCAGGAGCTGCTATGCATTATAGGTGTATAAGCCACAGAACATTTGTCACTGGTTTTATTTCATCATTCAGAGTCTGATAAAAATGTTAGGCAGGAAAAGAATAAACAATAATCTATATTTCAGTGTGAGGGGAGTACACCCAAATTAAAAAAAAATGCTTATTTAGAAAACCCATTCAGCCTAGCAAGCAATGCTTACAATATACCCATTATTATCCTTCAACTGTTCATGGAAGTAGGTTGCCTGTAGTCTTAACATTTATGAAGTCTTCAAACCCCGAAGAGGGAAATACTATCATATAATGAATCTTCTTCCTTCTGTTATGCTGCTGTTTAGGTCTTGCCTCAGAAAGCAAAAGCACATTTTCTTTTCTTTTACTATGGGTGTATCATTCTTTTAATTCTTATCATGGCCTCTGAATAATCTCCTTGGAATAACCCACTGGAACTGGGAGGTTACTGGTTTTTAATCCTAGTGACTCAGTGAGCACGTCTACATGTGCAATTAATGTGGAGCAATAAACTCCAGGGTTTAGTGCTCCAGAGTTTATTGCTCCTGGGCACTCCATTTGAACATGAGCTGGGTTGGTGCAAACGCAGCTGGCAGGGGGCCCGGGGGAGGGTCAGCCTGTCCGCCCAGGGCTGCTCCTGCTCAGCTCAACAAGCTGTGGAGGGGATGGCTGAGGCTTGAGGGTGCTTCAGTGTGGGGCCAGCAAACAGCCCCTGCACTGAAGCACCCATATGCTTCAGTCAGCTTCTGCATGTGTGGTGCTGCAGTTGCAAGTACTACTGTGCAGTGGAATTAATTAGTTTTCTGGGGCCCAATAGGGCCGCACATGTAGATGCCGAGATGTTTACTGCAGAGCTAATTAGGTAGCTCTGCAGTAAACTTCTTGTGTAGATACTTCCAGTTACATCTTCTGAGTCATTTCACATGGTATCCCTAGCCCAAAATGATGGGAGTAAAGGGATGAGGGGATTGCCAGAATATTGCCACTCTTACAGAGTATTATCTAAGCTTCTTAGAAGAGGAAGGAAAGTGTCTGAGGTGAGGCAGGTCTCTGGTGGTCTTCCACACTGCCTACATTGAGGCAGGACTCCTGTGACAAGATTGGAGGCTTGTAGGATGCCATTATACTGTTTCAAGCATTATTGCTGGCTGAAAGAGGTGGGCTGGAAAAGAGGTGAGGATCTTGCAGGTTGGCTGGCACTCCGGCACAGTAAAAAAAGCTGTACAGATGATTGTGAACTCAAATTGGGGTCGTTATCAAGGAATGAACTCATAGAACATTCTGGGTGTTAATCATGGTGGGAGTTATCAAGTTGGACTAAGCACAAAATGGGACTGATCCAAAAAGGAAACTGACTCATGATTCTGAACCCACTCAGACTGGTTTGTAACAAACCATTTAACAAAACCTAGGTGGGACACAAACATTTCTGTGTTTTCAGACCCCTAAACCAATCATGGGGAGCAAAGCTGTGAAAACACCACAGTAGTCATAATCTCATTGAGGTTCAGGGACCTAAGAGTTCACTTTGTGTATTGCCTTTTTTCAGCAAATTGGTAGCCTGAGAATTACTGCCATTCTCATGCCATAAGGTAGCATATGTGTTTTACGGAAAAGCATCCTGATACGTAAAAATTGGAGATTACAATTTTATTGAGCTTACATATCAGGAATACTGGAGAGTAGATGACTTATTTCCTATGTCGTTATTTATGTAGGCTTGTCTTTGGCAAAGCAAGATTGGAGTTTAAGAATGCTAAAGAAAGCAGGCCTTCGCTCCCACCACAGTAAGACCAATCCAATAGCACTACTGTGGTAAAGTCTAAGAGAATTATTGCTGGTATTTGCAATATTAGAAACTGCAAAATGATGAAGTTGTTTGTGTTTCAACTCTTTCTCTTAAGGATGCTGTTACCCTAATAAATCATGCAATACTCCAGAATGCTCCCATTCATTCTTGCTTGCAAAGGAAAAAAACTGGAGCCATCACCACTAATGCTTTATAACCTCATCTTGCAGCCTTCCACTATAGCCAGCACTGAGAAGCAGACAGATCCAGGTATTTTTATTATGTGCAAAAACCCCCTAACCCTCCCCCCCCTCCCCAAACAAACCCAAAAAAACCAAAACAAAACCAAACCCGTAGGAAGTTATGTGCCAGGAGCTGAGCGCAAGTGTGTGTTTGTCTTGCCAGAGTTGATGTCATCATATATGCTTAAAGTAGTGCAGAGTATGCAGTTTTCTTGTCATCAGCTATTTATGGACCAGGTAAATACAGGAATGAAATTATTTTTAAAGCAGTCTTATTCATCTGAATATTTTGGGTCAATAAAATAATTGGAGGGGTGGATAATTGAAGGAATTACTGAATAAATTCATACCAGTCGACATAATCAAGGCTCAAGTGAGGGAATTTGGACTAAAGCAGCTGAAGTAAATAGGATTTCGTTTGTTTTGTATTTTGTTTTCTGTGTTTTAATGAATATACTTGTAGTTTTGATGGGTGCTATTAATTTGAATTAATAAAGTCATTGTTGACCTTGAAGGCTATGTAGCTCACCTTTAACATTACTCCCAGGGAAAAGAATTCCACTAAAAATAAAAAATAAAAATCCTATTTTGAATTGAAATCAGTTTCTAAATGGCAGTATACAAGGGACTTGTATTTTAATGTCAAACACTGCTGCACTCCTTATATTTTGTTGCCAGATCCCATCAGCATTGAATTTCATTGATGGGAAATATATATTAACTGGAGCATGAATTACAGGACGTTTCAATAGCACTATGGTTACTGTGTTTGCCAAGTCTCTTTCAGGCTTTGCAGTTTCATTACTAATACAGTTACTTCCACTATCTGCTTGCTTTGGTTAGTCTTCCTCTGTTGCAGACAAGACACCTTTGCTTAACTCATCTGGACTTAAAATAAAAGGTTGCATTCTTTGATGGTTCTGAAACTATTATCTGGGAAAGAAAACTATTTATATACTGTGTCTATTCAGGACAAACAGGTCTGCAGAATGGAGATTATTAATACATTAATAGAGTGCCATACACTTTAATGATTCATGGCAGTGTAAAACACATTACCTTCCTCTGAAAAATCAAGCTAACACCACCATAAAGACAAGCACACCAGCTCAGGACTGAGCCAGCATGTGGATTTTTGATAATAAGAAGAGAGGAAGGCTTGCTTAAATTTTTGTGTTAAGCAGAGATTGGAAGGAGGTGAAGGTGAAAGCAGGTGCTTGGCAGAAGAGGACAGCAAGGCAGGGCCACATGAGAGAAGACTTGAGGAGAGCAGAAAAGAGGCACAGAATGGAGAGCTGTGGGTAAGACCCAGGGCCTTTGGGAAGGAAGAGGTGATGGTAATAAAAGTGAGCTGACCAGGCCATGAGGAAAAGAAACTGAGAAGTCACTGAACTGAGAGTGGACAGAGAAGGGTCAAGGATGTTGCTGAGATTGGAGACCTGGGAGCTGGAGACGGTAGCTGTAAATGACAGTTGTGAGGAGGAATGGAAATCCCTGCAGGATCAAACCAGGCAGAACAGCGTTGCTCATTCCAGGGCTCTGGAAAGGGTTACTATAGACCTCCATCTTTCCCATCAGCCCTTGCCAGAAGGTAAGACTGCAAAAACATCTTTAGACTGTTTCCCCCAGTTTAAACCACCCAGAGAGGCTGTCTGGACCCATGTGTCAGAACAGGCCTCTTCAACTGCTGATGACTTCTTTGAGGTGACTCTCCCTGATAGTGGCAGTCTTCATACAAGGAATCTCACAGGCAAACCTGAAACAAACTTGCCTGCAATGTGAATTCCCCACAGAGGCCTCAAGAGCTTGGGTGGAAATCTCTTGTGGAATAATGTCCATGTGTTGAACTTGAACCATATGGCAAATGGCTTGTGAATCAAAGGCAGGGCACCCATGGACGCGTGGGAGATGGGCTGCTTGCGATCGACCTGGGGCAGCCAGCCAGGTTGGAGCTTTTAGGATCACTGCCCTGAAGCTGAGAACCTGAGAGCTCTAGGAGATGTGGGGCCTGCTTTTTGTTGGAAGAACCATGCTGCGGTGGTTTTGAGGGAAGTTTTTTTTTTCTGTCAGAAGTTTCGGTTCATGAGAAATTTTGGAAAATTTGGGTTTAATTTCTTATGACCCAGAAAGGAGGAGTAAGGTGCTTTTTCTCTAAGCCCAAACAAAGCTTTCATTTACCCCTTACTTCTTGCTAATCTAAACTGATACATTTACTGAGCCAGAAGTTTTGTTTACCAGCTGCCTTTGGTAAAGATGTGGAAGTAAGCAGGCTTTTTAAAGCTAGCAGTAGGGCATGATGGGGGAGGCCTGTTTTTTCTCTCAGCAGTTTTATGCTACCTCAGCTCCTGAGACTTGAGCAATGTTACTTTGTATTTAAATAAGTGAGAAGGAACATAAGGGCTGAAACATGTAACAAGTGAAGTGATACCAAAGGATACAAGCTCTTGTGCTATATCAGGCTTGTCCAACATATGGCCCGCGGGCCACTATGTGGCCCTCCAAGCTGTTTTCTGAGGCCCAAGGTGCTGCGATGAGAAACAAAAGTAAACACTGTACTTTTGTTTGGCGAGGGGATGTGATACTGCTTCCTGTGAGGATGGCCGCTGAAGGGCTAGGGAAGGGACAAGGTTCCTACATGCACCGCGTCTGCTTGACGTTGTCGACGCAGTACATGTGGGAAGAGGAGTAGCCATGTGCCGCTCAGGACAGGATGAGCCCGGCCGGAGCAGCAGGGGCTTTCCCCCCTACCTGCGCTGGTCCGTCCTGAGCGGCACATGGCTCTGCCACCACTTTTGCTGGCCGGTGCCGACCCGGGCGGGTCTGTCCCATCCGGAGCAGCACACAGCTGAAGCCAGATTTCCATGTGCTGCTGGGGACTGGAGGAGCCCGGCCAGGTTGGCACCAGCCAGCAGAAGTGGCAGGGGGGGGCACTCCTC